GAGAGAGAGAGAGAGTCGTCTTTCTCTTATTTAATTACAATACCTCGTATTAGAACGCACTTCCGCAAATAGTTTGAGACACGAGTAAAAAAGTACTGTCAGAGCCGTGTTCTTCATCCTAAGATTTCGACAACTGTCGATACATTTTGACCAGGCAATCTACCGGTTGCGATGCATTCCAATTAATCTATTAACGTAGTAGTTACACGCAATCTACTTCAATTGCAAATGTCGTCGAATTCATCTTCGATTCAACAGTGGTTATTACTTTTATTACTTTTCTTCCAATTGCGTAACGATCCTGAGACAGAGACAAAACACCACAGTCACCGATGCTTGATTAAACACAGATGATATTCGTTTAATTATTCAATTATTATCTTCTAAACTTACCACATATAATATACATATCTACTGCATAATTTAATGACAGACAAATTTAAGTACATATCTGTTTTGGAAAATTATGCGCATTATACGCATAATTTTGTGTGTCAAAAAAATATCGATCTTTTCGTGTCAAAAAGGAAGAGATAGAAAACTACTGTGTTATCGTTCTAAAGTTATACTGTTATTTTATCACATTCTTATATCTGAGCATCGTTATATTACAATGGCTAGCAAAACTGAACGTACATGAGAAAATTTTAACATAAATTAGTGCTTGCATGCAGAATACAGAAGAAGCAAAATATATAGTGTTTTGTAGGAAATTTTAGCTTTGTAAAAAAAGATTTCACGACCCTCTTACCTCTCTTACTCGTTATTTTGGCGATATAAATTGTTTTCGTGAAGTCAGTTTTGCATCGAGAAACTATCGATATTTTAGACTGTTCTAATTTTAAAAAAAAGTAATGCAATCACATAATCAGTTAATTCATTATTACAAAGCGCTCTTAGCATTTATAGAATAAATAATTGCTTCTACGTGTAAATACGTCTTTCAAACCGGATTCAAGATATGATAAATTTATATCTTTATCTTAAAATATGAATTATATGAATTTTACACTTTCGCGTGATTAACTTCTATTTTGTACGTACAAATTTTAGACTTGACTGTAGTTTACGAGAAATTGCATGTTATTCAAGTCACTGTTTCGATCTATCGAATAGAACTTATAGTTACAAAAATAACCTACAGTAATCATACAGGTGCTGCCATCTATTGGATCTTATGTCTTTATTCTTCCATCGTCTACAGTTTTTTCTACAACCGTTAGAGAGTAACACAATGCTTTTTCTGCTATTTATTTTCAAACGAGTTCGACAGATGGCAGCACCTATATGATTACTGTAGGTACGATGATCGATAAATAATAGTCACCGTACTACAAAGGAAAATTTTATTGTTTATTTTAACGTTTACATGATACAGAATTTAATGGATGAATTACGACTGTCGACTGACGACTGACGACTATTTATTAATTTCTTATTTACTATTATATATATTCTAGACAATTTATTTGTAACATGGTAACTAATAATTTATTGTATCTCCATGGTAACTTTTTCTAATAAGACTAAATAGATGTCGCTACAAAAATGTAGGAACGATGATAGATAAATTACAAATTCACTGTACTACAAATAACTTTACACTTTGTTATTATTAATATTTTTTAATAACTATTATTTAACAATATTTAATTGGACAATAAAAATTAATTAATTAATTATTTATACACTTTAATTGATAATAACTTTAGACTTTAGAATGTACAATGTACAATATTCAATGTTCTATCTAAATTATCTCTTTTACAACTCTTATTTATACCTTCGTTAATTTGTTAAGTATT